GAGATCCGAGCTTAGTCTGACTTGCTTGCCTTTGTATAGAACACTTCTGTTTTCCCTAGCTGCTTTCCGAAGTGTCTCCTTATCTTTGATTTTGGATAGCTTGATGATGATATGTCTCGGTGATTTTCTTTTGGGGTCTATCCTTCCTAGAGTTCGTTGAGCTTCTTGAATGTTTATCTTTTCACTTTTTAAGATATTAGAGAAATTTTCTTCCAGCAGTTCTTCAACTATTTCCGCCATGGACTTGTGTGATTCTTCTTGTTCTGGAATACTGATAATTCTTCATGTTTCCTCTTCATGTTTCCCAACATGAATCTTAGACCTTCTTCTGATTTTTTTTACTCCTTTTTTCTGTTTCCTCTTCTATCTTAGTGGTTTTGAGAGTTTTGTCTTCAAGCTAACTGGTTCTGCCTTCCATCTCTTCTATTCTACTCCTTTGCCCTTTCTGTGTATTGTCTATTTCTGATATTCTATTGTTGATCATTTGGACCTGTTTCTGTAGGTTTTGAATTGTTTCCAATGCTGTATCTATCTTATTTGATTGTTGCTGTAGTGCTTTCCTGACTTCTTCCTTATTTTTCTCAACTCCATTGTAAAGTATTTTGAAACATTTTAAAATCATTTTTCTGAATTCCTTCTCAGGCATTCCCAAGTCCTGTCCTCCTTCCAGAAAGGAATCCAGGTCTACCTCTAGGTCATTTGTCTCAGACATTTTATCTTGTTTCTGGACATGTGCTGATATGGTCATCTGCTTTTGCTTTCAGGACATGTTTAGTGTTTATCTGTGGCTTTAATACTTAATTGAGTATGTGTTTTGGTATTTTTTATGCTTTCTGATGGCTTGCAGGTAGATGTGATCAGAATGTGGGCTTCCCTTTTCACTCTTCTTATTGCTTAACTCAGAGTAACTTTCACAGATGTTGTCTGCTTCCCTGGTATATGGAAGTTGGTATGGTTGTTGCCTGGATTTTGGTGTTTTATAGAGTGTGACTGTATCTTGACTATATGGCAGCAGTTGCTGTCTCTTCTTGTGTAATATAAGGAGAGAGTCTCCCAAAGATAGAAGGGGGAGCGTAAAACAGCCAATCAGCAACAGCAAAAACAAACAAACACCAAAACAACAACAATAAAGTAGACTGGATACTGTAGTCTATAATCGCAGAAAAGGGAGACGAGGGAGAGAAGGGAAAAAAAAAAAAATCTGTAGCCTAATATGAGTATGACTTTAATGTCCTATTTCAGCTTCTTGCCTTCAAAGCTTCCTGAGAGATTTCAAGATGTCAATATTGGTTGTTATGTTGTACCTCAGGATTTAATTTAATTTTTGGCCTATTTTGTTTTTAAACTCTCTTTCCCTGTCCACATTCTTGTTCTGGCTTTTCTGTATTAAAAAAAACAGTTCAGTGCCGGCTCTTGGGCTGAGGAGTATCTGTGCCCATGTGTGGCAGAAGAACCCACTGTGGTGCAGGTGGGGGATGTCCACTCACTCAGGCATTCCCTCTAGTCACCAGAATGGAAGTGCGTAAGCAGTGGGGGCCAATGAACAGATAATAAAAAAAAGAAAATCAGAACAAAGCAAAACCGACAGTGTATTGTCCACCTTTGCTCCGAGGTTCCTGTGGCATTTTTCCATGGTGTGCCTGCTCCCCCTGCTTGGTCTTGCCCTTTAGTCTTGCCCAAGTTGTTGGCTCTAGGCTCCCAAGCCCGGCAGAATCAAAAGTACGTGATTTCTTATTTTTGCTACACGTTACACTAGCTATAAGCCTTAAAACCTTTTTAATATTCCTATCTATGTGGTTCTGAGTTTTGGAGCTCTGCCCTGCACCATTTGCTGGTATTCTGTGGTATTACTAATGGCGAACCTGACTGCACATCTACCCTAGCCTCCATCGAGCCCCCTGTATGATGTTTTTGATGTCATCCCACAACACTTCTGGTCTTCGGTCTTTAGTGTCTAATGCTTCAAATCTGTTCTTGAGATGATCTCTAAATTCAAATGGGATGTCGAGGAGATCTTGTAGCGTGGTTACGAGTTGGGCTAATAATCTCAAGGCCAGTAGTTCAAAACTGTCAACCGTTCCGAGAGAGAAAGCTGAAGCTTTCTGCTCCCATAAAGATTTACAGCCTTGGTAACCCTATACAAGGTCGCTGTCAGTTGGAACTGACCCCATGGCAAACAACCACCACTACCAGCATAACCGTGGTTATATTTTGGGTCTCGTGGACTCGTTTTAATTTTCTTCAGCTTGACCTTGTATATGAGCCATTGATGATCTGTTCTGCAGTCTGCCTAGCCTTATTTTGGCTGATGATATGGAGCTTTTCCACTATCTCTTTCCACAGAGGTAGTCAGTTTGATTATGTGTGTTCCATCTGTTGAAGTCTATGTGTATAGTTGTCTTTTATGTTGTTTAAAAAAGGTATTTGCAATGAAGTCATTGATCTTGCAAAATTCTATCATGCGATCTCCAGGATTGTTTCTATCACCAAGGCCATATTTTCCAACCACTGATCCTTCCTCTTTGTTTGCAACCTTTGCATTCCAGTCACCAGTATTGATCAATACATCTTGATTGCATGTTTGATTAATTTCAGAATGAAGAAGTTGGCTTTAGTGGTTGGTGCATAAATTTGAATTATAATGGTATTATATAGTCTTTTTAATGATGAATACGACACCTTTCCTCTTCAATTTGTTATTCCCAGCATAGCAAACCATGTGGTTTTCAGACTCAAAATGGCCAATACCAGTCCATTTCAGCTCACTAATGCCTAGGATATCGATGTTAATGCACTCTATTTCATTTTGGACAATTTCCAATTTTCCTGTTTCATACTTAATACATTCCATGTTCCGATTATCAGTGGCTGTTTAGAGCTGTTTCTCTTCATTTTGAGTTGTTCCTCATCAACAAATGAAGGTCCCAAAGGCTTTATTCCATTCGTATCATCAGTGTCAACTCTAGTTTGAGGAGGCAGCTCTTTCCCAGTCGTATTTTGAGTGCATTCTAATGTGAGAGGCTCATCTTTTGGCACTCTATCTGACAATATTCTGGTGCTCTTCATCATGTTTCAATATTTAATAGTCAGTAGATTCGGTTGCTGTCTGATAGTGTTCCACTGCTATTCATATGGTTTTCAGTGACTAAATACTTGGAAGTAGTCTGTCTCCTTCCTAATCTTCATCTGGAAGCTCTTCTGGAACCTGTACGTCATGGTTGACTCTGCTGGTATTTAAAATATCCATGACATAATTTCCAGAATCACAATAACATGCAAGCCACCACAGTACAACAGCCGACAAGATAAATGGTGGTGTGTTCCACTAGAGCCGTTAAACAGGGCACCAGGTTGTCTTAAAGTATGTTAGTACTACCGTAAACTCTGGGGGGGATCTCTGGACCCCTGAAGACTCTCTGGCTCAAGGTTGCCTTGGTGTCTTAATCCTTTCTTGCTTTCCTGAGAAAACTGGAGTAAATGAGTAAGGAGATGCAGAGATTTCCAGAAGGAACTATGTGAGTTCCTAGAGAGCTGTTCAGAGTGTGATTCACAGTGCCACAGCTCCCTAAACTGGGTCCATGGTCTATTGTCTGCTTCCCCACCCCCAACATCTGTTGATCATAACAACTGTGCATAAAATTATGAAAAATGGGAATTCTCGAACACTTAAATATATGTATGCGGAACTTATACATAGACCAAGAAGTAGTCATTATAACAGAACAAGGGGATACTGTGTAATTCAGATTTAGGAAAAGTGATACCAGTGTTGTATCTTGTCACTATGGTCATTCACTATACTTTGTACGCTCAGCAAATAATCTGAGAGACTAAACTATTTGAAAAAGAACATGGCATCATGATTGAAGGGAGGCTCACTGTCAACCTGCAATGTGCAGATGACATACCTTACTTGCTAAAAGTGAAGAGGACTTGAAACACTGATGAGGATCAAAGAAGTCAGCCTTTAGTGGAAATTACAGCTCAATGTAAAGAAAACACAAATCCTCACCCTGAACCAGTAAACAGTATAATGATACATGGAGAGAAGATTGAAGTTGTCAAAGACTTCATTTTGTTTGGATTTACAATCAACACTCACAGAAACAGCAGTCAAGAAATCAAATGATGTATTGCAATAGTCAAATCTGCTACATTTGACCTCTTTAAAATGTTCAAGAAAGAGCAACTATGTTAGTTTGAGGATTAAGGTGCAACTGACCCAAAGTGTGTTATTTTCAATTGCCTCATGTGCATGTGAAATTGGATGCATAAGGAAGTGAGTAAGGAAGACTGGAGAAGAATTGATGCATTTGAATTATGATGTTGACAAAGAATATTGAAAGTACCATGGATTTCCATAAGAACTAACAAATCTGTCTTGACAGAAGTATAGCCAGAATACTCTTTAGAGGCCAGGATGGTGAGACTTCTTCTCACATTGCACATATTGTCAGGAGGGACTAGTCCCTGGAGAAGGACATCATCAAGGACCTGCTGGATCAACACAGTGGCTGCTACATGGGTTCTAACATAGCACTGATTGTGAGGATGGCGCAGGACTGGGCAGTGTTTCCTTCCGTTGTTCATAGGGGTCCCTATAAGTAGAAACTGACTCAGTGGCATCTAACAGTACCAACTTGGGTAGAATGAGTAAAAGAATACCACGGTCTTTTCAGTTGTGGTTCAGTCTGAGGGAAATGCGAATAGCATTGCTGAACGTGGAAAACATGAGTTCTGGGATTAGTCCAGGTCTGACCGCTAGTCCTAACTTTGTCCTTTATTAGCTCAGGACTTGGAGCAAGGGGCCCAGCCTCATCCAACTGCTTTGTGTCCTCAACTTTTAAGTGGGGTTGATGATATCTGTGCTTCCCTTGCTCATTGATCCTGGCTATGGTGTGGCCCTTTCTCGACTAGTACAGTAACCTGTGTGCAGGGGTTTGGGTGTATGCTGTTGGTCCCTTCCTCGGTCAGCCCTGACCTGTCTCTTTTCTAATCAGGGGGACATGGAGCAGGCCCTGGAGAACTACGACATTTGCACTGAGATGCTCCAGAGCTCAGCCACTCTCCAGACTACAGCAGGGGTGCAGTGCAGAGACCTGGTCATCCGGCTGCCCAACCTGCACAATGACTCTACTGTCTCACTAGAGGAGGTGCATGCCAGTGTATGGGGCCATGCCCCATGATCTGATTGGGCTTGACTGCCCCTGAGGAACAGTGCCAACTGTGTTAAGCAGTGCACCTAGAGGGATGTACCCCTCAGGGAAGTGCATCCAGTGGGTGGGCAGAGGCAGTGGAGTTGGGGCATTTGTCCACATAGTTGAGAGGTGGTACTTCCTTGCTTCTGCAGATTTGTGGTGGTCCAACCCTGGGATTAGGGGAGTGGTGAGCTCTGTTTGTACAGCTCAGGCCCACTAAGGCTCCATACTGGAGGTGTGTGTGTCCACAGGGGCAGGACTGGTCTGCAGCCTCAGGAAAGGGTCAGGTGCGGTTGAGTACTATTGAAGGGACTTGGTGGTTCAGTGGTATTTGCCAGCCTCTGATTTGGGCAAACCAAATTGATTCTCTGACACCATGAATTAGATCTGTTGAGCTCTGTCCCTGCACAACCTTTTTGGCAAATGTTTATCTTGAGCCTCACTGCTCCTGAAGTCATTTTTGTTTTTCTGTGTGTTTCTTAGTTTTGTTTTTAAAAAATCAAATGCCTTTGAGAACCTGCATGTTAGTTGGATGTAAAGGAGAGTCCAGTTTCTGCCCTCTTCTTTGGGGTCTGATGAGCACAGACATGGCCGATTCAGGGGAGATTCATTGGCAGCATTCCTGGACCTTTCTCAGATCGATAAGAACCTGAAGTCGCTGGAGCGGTGCCAGTCACTGGAGGAGATTCAGAGGCTGTATGAAGCTGGTGACTACAAAGCCGTCATACGTCTGCTGCGCCCCACCCTGTGCACCAGTGATTTTGACCGAGCCAAGCACCTGGAGTTCATGACGTCCATCCCAGAGAGGCCGGCACAGCTGTTGTTACTGCAGGTATGTGCTGCCCTTCTTAGCTTGCTTCTTTGTGTATTTAGTTTTGGCAGGTAATCAGGCAGCTCTCAAAAACACATACCCAGGAGAAATGCCAGTGACTTGGTTCCCATGCGTAGCGACCCTGTATAATGTTTCTGAGGCTGTAAATTTTTCCAGAAGCAGAAAGCCTTATCATTCTCCCAGTGGAATGACTGGTGGACTTGAACTGTTGACTTTGTAGTTTGCAGTCCAGTGCTTATCCTCTAGAGCCACTGCACTCCTAGGTAAAATGACTAATTTAGCATCTAGGAAGGTGGGGTCCAGGCTGGAGCAGAGTTAGAGCCCAGGAGTTCAGGTTCTAGGATTCTGTGTGGCTCACACTTAGTAGTGAGTCTGAGCCTCTTTATGAAGAGGGAAAGGAAGGCTAACCCAGGTCCACCATCTACCCATCTACCCATTTGTTCATTCATCCATCATCCATCCACATATCTATCTACTTTTATACCTATTTGTCTACAGTGGGAGCCTGCCAGCCAATCCATGGGAGAAAGACGAAGCTTTCTCCTTCCATGAAAATGTAAAGCCTCAGAAACCCTATACAGGATCTCTATGAGTCGGGACCAACTCAATAGCACTTGACAGTAACAACTTATTCATCCAGCCATATACCCATTTGTTCTTCCATCCACCCATTTGTCCGTCCATCCATCATCATCTGTACACCTGTCTATCGACCCGTCCCACCAGCCACTCATCTCCCCATCCATCCATTTACCCGTTCTTCCATCTACACACCCATCCGTTGTCCATCAGTCCGTGCACCTGTTCATTCACCTGTCCATTTATCCATCCATCCACCCATTCACCTGTCCATCTGTCCCTCCATCCACTTACCTAACATCCATTCATCTATTTGCCTGTCTATCCACTTTTTAAAAATTGTTTTTTAAGTTAATTGTTGAATGGGTATTAGTATGGATAATATATCTGTACTGTGTACAGAGAGAAGTTAAAATGAGTACCCACATGCAGTTTCCTAGTTAAAAAAGAACAGCTTTGTGCTTGTCGTTCCCTGTGCCCTGTTGTCCCTCCCCCTACCTCCATTCTTCAGGAAGTAAACCCTTCCTTGATGCTGAGGGAGCTGGCCGTCTACTGGTCACCTCCCCTCATCCTGTGCCTCATCTCCGCATCTTGCTAATAGAGATTAAACTGTCCTTACCTCAGAGGCTTGCTGTGGGGATTCCAGAGTTACCCTGCTGCCACAGTCAGGGAGAGGGAGGGTGGGAGAGAGGAGGGAAGAGGGATGCTTGCTTGGACCAAACTAAGATCAGGGAATGACATGTCACCACTATGAAGATTTGGGGTGGCCCCACATGGCTGCTTGTTGGGGGACAACTGGGGGCCCAGGGTGAACACTGAGTGAGTTGCGGAACGGAAAGCACCACTCCTCTGTTTCTGGGAAATAGTCCCACTGCCTGGATGCCTGAGGAGTATGGGACTGGGCAGGCATGGGGCTATGACCACCTGCTGTCTGTCAGTTTTGTGCAACCTCCTGGGATGGGGGTCATCTTGATCCAAGTGCCTCTTGGACATTAAAAGGCGTACTCATTTTCTCATCGTATGTTACAGCTTTTTGTTGTTGATGTTTGTTTGGCATTCATTGCTCTGTGAACTCACCTCCCTCCTGATTGAGAATTCTACCCTGAAGTCTCCTCAAACCCAGCACGCTGCTTGCCAGCCAGTGGAGTTGGCTCAGGCTCTCCCTTCTGCCGAGGTAGTTCCTGGAGCACTTTTGAATGCCCAGGGCCCAGGGCCCAGTGCTTGGCAATTGCTGATGGAGCTATTTGAGCCATGCTCTTATTGTGGCTATTGATGGCTTCCTGGGTCTCTCCCCAGTGTTTTAACTTTATAAGCAGGAAACTGAAAGCCCCCTGGTACACCCAATGCTTACAGGGGCCTTTGGGCTGTATGGCACCTGCACCTGCTTCTCCAGAGTGCCCTTGGCCCTCATTCCTTGAGCCCTCTGAGCACCCGTGTGCTGAGCATCTGATGGGCCTCATCCATCTTGACCCTCACTCTGATTCCCTTTTTTTTGCTCAGGATTCTCTGCTTCGGCTGCAGGACCGCCGGCAGTGTTTCGAGTGCTCTGATGTAGCTCTGCACGAAGCAGTCCAGCAGATGGTCAATGCAGGTGACACTGCAGCCAAGGAGGAGTGGGTGGCCACAGTAACACAGCTGCTGCTGGGCATCGAGCAGACGCTCTCTGCAGATGGCAGCGGCAGCATCCTGAAGGAGTCTGCTTCCTCCTCCTCCTCTTCCACCACTGGCCTCGCCAGGCTCACCAGCAACCTCATCCAGGTGACTCAGACTCTGCCTGGTCCCGCCCGGCCCCACAGGTGTGTCTCTGACACTTCCTGATGCTTGGTGACAACCCATACTGGTGTGGCCTCATTAACATGACAAAGAAAACTGTTCTCAAGAGGGATCACATCTCCAGGTGTGGTGATGTGTACCTTGCTGTCCATTCTGGCTCATGGAAACCCAATGGAACAGAGTAGAACAGCCCCGCAGGGTTTCCTAGGCTGTGATCTTTATGAGAACAGACCATCAGGTCTCTCTCCTTAAGGGCCTTTCAGTTAAGAGCTGAGTGCTTCCCTGCTGCACCACCAGGGCTCACTGTAGGTATAAAACCAAAAATCCCAAACCTGCTATCGAGTCAGTCCTGACACACAACCATCCTGTAGGACAGAGAACTTTCTGAGAGTGTCCGTCTTTAGGGGATTAGACTGTCTCATCTTTCTCTTGCAGAGGGGCTGGCTAGTAGCCCAATGTTTACCCTAAAGCTCCTTCTCACAGGTACAGGGCCTTGGATTTATAACACATGTATGAGGGGACACAGTTCAATTCGTAACACTGCTACAGGATGCAAGATCTCTGCTCTCCCCTGGGAGGGTGGGTCAGTACTGCCTGCAGTGACCTGTGGTCGGTCCCTTTTCCCATCAGGTTATTGACTGCAGCATGGCTGTGCAGGAGGAGCCCAAGGAGCCGCATGTGTCCTCCGTGCTGCCCTGGATCATTCTGCATCGTGTCATCTGGCAGGAGGAGGATACCTTCCGCTCTCTATGCCACCAGCAGCAGCTCCAGAGCCCAGCAGATGAAGGTGCCGGGATTCGGTGGTGGCAGGGGGTGGGGGAGCAGCCTGTTCAGGGCAGTGTACATGCTGGGCACCCTCTGTACAGAATGTGGGCACACACAGGGATGACCACATTCATTGAAGGATACATACCAGGCATGCTCACGTGCTCCCAGAACGTCTTTGCCCATCAGCACCTTTAATCCTCATGTCAGTCCTGTAAGGTGGACACCCAGAGCCTCTCACCTAGTGACTGTTCCTGACTGCTCCTGGGTCAGTCAGGTGGGGTAGTACAGACATTCACAGGTCTCCAGTCATGTGACCTTGGGCAGCCATTTCCCCTTTCAGCCCACTTCTTACCTTCTGTATGTGCCACAGAGGGTGGGATAAAGTAATAAATGTGCCCGTTGCTATGTCAAGTTGGAGCCTGGTATGTGGTAGGTGCTGAGCAATGAGTGTGATCATGAGTTGAGAAGCTAGAGAGAGTCTTAGACCCTAAGTGGAGGAGGCACCTGAGAGGTCAGTGACACAGTGGCATAAAATGTGCTTTATTGATGAAAACACCCACAGTGACATTTCAAGGAAAGAAGAGCCCAAATAAATGGACTTGAGTTGTTTTCTTATACATTGTCCTAATTTGGCTTTTGTTCATAAAACCAAAAACCCAAACCCACTGCTGTGAGTCTCTTCTGACTCATGGTGACCCTATATAGGCCAGAAAATTGCCCCTTAAGGTTTTTGAGGCTGTCAGTCTTTACAGGAACAGACAGTCTCATCTTTCGCCCAAGGAACTACTGGTGGGTTTGAACTGCTGACCTTTCAAATAGCAGCTCAATGCTAATTGTAAATGCTAACTTACCAGTGTAAAACACTGAATTTGCAAATATGCACTGATATATTTAGAATAACAACAAAAGAGCAGCTGCTAATGTACATATAACCAGGTACCTCTTGGGATTTTGTTCCTTAGTTTGGAGTTTTAGGGTCATGGTTTTGTGGAATCCAAGTTCACTTGAATAATAATATGTTTAGTGCTTCTATTCTACCTCCTGGTTCATTGTGTGATGCCTGGATTTAAAAGCTTACTGATGGTCATCCAAGCACAGCACTTAGTGTCTGTTGCCTGGAATAACAGAAGAAGGGGATTCAGGAAGAAATGGTAAGTGTGGCTAATTGCCCCTGTGAATAGCTGCCTTTTTTGCGTTGAGACCAGAACTGTACCTGGCTACTATCATTGAAAATTTTGATCCAAGATTCTATAGAATAATACTGGTCAAAAGAGAGAAAATGCAGAACAGAATTTCAAATTTACATGGAATCCACATTTTCTGGAACTATGGAGGCTGGATGAACTATTGAAATTATTACCTTGAGATTATCCCTTGAAGTCTTCTTTAAACCAATTTATTTTAATTAATAAAGAGCATTTGTCCTGAGCATTGTGCTTTTTAAAGCTCTATCAATATGGAATCAAATTGACAAAAGCAGCTTGAAAGAATAGCTAGTAAATATATAGGGCAGTGATTTCACGTTATGGGGGAGTAGCTGTTTGGATAATCAGGTTGAAAATGGTTACACAACTTGAAGAATGTAGTTAGTGTTACTGAATTTTACATGTAGAAATGGTTGATAGATGTATGTTCTGTATATTCTCAATAACTAAAAAGAAAAAGAAACATTAAGAGAGAATGAAATCCAATTAATGAGTCCAAATGAAATATCTCAGAATAGAAAAACCCTGGATTTGTAATGAGGAATAAATAAAAAAGGAAAAAATAAAATTGGAACTGAGAGAAAGCAACTAGACTAATTATGTAAATATAAATAATCCTTGAATTGCTATAAACAATATGAGGCAGCTTCAAAAAAATTGTAGAAAAATTGAATGAAACGATAATGAACTTTTTGAATCCTCCTTATCGTATTTGCAACAAGAGAAATAAAGGAAGTGTCTTCATTTTCTCCTACTGCTGAAACAGAAATTCCATCACTAGGGGCTATAGCAAACAGAAATGGATTGTCTCACAGTTTAGCAGGCTAGAAGTCTGGATTTAGGGCGCTAGCTCTCGGGTAAGCCTTTCTCTGTGTGTCAACTCCTTGGTAACCTTCCTGTGGCAGTGTCCTCGCTTGTCTGTACTCTTACTTGTTTAATGTCTTACATCTCAAAAGAGGTTTACTTAAAACACACCCTACACTAATACTGTTGTGCTAACATAACAAAGAAAATCCATCTCAATGGGATCATAACTACAGTGGGGACACAATTCAGTCCATAACACCAATCTTGTATAATAGTCATTTGATGCTGTAGGAAATGGAAACTTAAAATAACCATAAAAAATTGGAATGAGATGAACGTCTTAAGAAATTTCTGCCCTTGTTTTTCCTTTTTTTTTGACCAGTGGTTTTCAGACTTATTTGACTGGATCCTTATTCTTCTGGATTTGATACCGTCTATTATTTTCTACTCTAATCCATTTAAGAAATGTTAGTTACAAATCAGACTCCTGTTGTGGCACTGTAGATCAGCACTGGACTGTGAACTACAAGGTCAGCAGTTCAAACCCACTGCTTCTCAGAAACCCTATACAGGGTCACTGTGAGTTGGATCTGGCTCAACAGCACTGTACAACAACAGTTACAAATCACTAATGGATTATATACCAAGGGATCTTTTAGAAACTAGTCATAGTTCTAGGCATGAATAAATGCTTTACTGTAATCTGGGGTACTTGTTTCTTTTGTTTTACCTACTGTGATGTTCAACTAATCCTAAATTTAATAATTTTAAGTTCAGAAGTAGTATATGTAGTATGGGTACCATTGTTAGGAATGACTTTTCTTCTGTTGTATGGTGGTGGTGGTAGTGTGCCATGGAGTCGGTTCCGACTCATAGAGGCCCTGCGTAGGGTTTCTGAGGCTATGAATCTTTACGGGAGTAGAAAGTCTCATTTTCCCCCTGCAGAATGGCTGGTAGTTTCAAACTGCTTAACCTTGAGGTTAGCAGCCTGACTCATAACCACTGTGCTACCAGAGCTCCTTTGTATAAGTTCCTTATATTTCCAGAAAGATGCTTAGAGTGATGTTTGCCAGATGTCAATATTGGTGAGCCGAGAGCTGGTTTTTTTGGTGGGTGAAGAGTTCTTCTTTCTCCTTTTCTATATGAAAGGAGCCCTGGTGCTGCAGTGGGTTAAGTGTTAGGCTGCTAACCTTAAGGTCAGTGGTTCAAACCTACCAGCTGCTCCTCAGGCGAAAGATGAAGTAGGCTACTCCTATAAAGATTTACAGTCTTGGAAACCCTAGGTAGTATTTCTACTCTTTCCTATAAGGTTTTCATGATTCAGAATAAACTTGATAGCAGTGTGTTTGGGTTATATGGTGTGAGTTATTTTTTGATAATGAAATACTGCTTTCATAATGCACTGGACCACAACATCAGTTTGGATTATAAGGTCGGTGGTTCAAATTCACTAGCCGCTCCTCAGAAACCATATACCGGGTCGCTTTGAGTTAATGGCACTCAACAACAACAAAGCCAATTAAATCCTTACTTTTTTTTTAGAAGAGAAACCTCTCCATCAAAAAAAAAAGGCGAGAGAGACATCAGTGGTCACCTTGGTCAGGAGGAGTGCCTGCACACCAGCCTTGCCTACAGGCCCCATGTCTCCATCCTGACCTCTGCCCATGTTTCCCCAGGAATGTCGGAGACAGCCATGCTCCCATCGTCCCTCATGCTGCTCAACACGGCCCATGAATATCTGGGCCGACGGTCCTGGTGCTGCAATTCCGATGGGGCTCTGCTGCGTTTCTATGTGAGTATCTTCCCTGGTGGGGCGGGACACCTCGAGCTCGTTGGAGCTTCCCCTTACTCTGGAACCCACATGACTTCTCTGACTCCCCGCTGCATCCCCCAATGTGTGACCCTTCATAGTGACCATAGAGTGATGCTTGTGAGCCCTGGCCCTGACCAGCAGGTGGACTTGGAGCTGTGAGTCTTTGCTGAGCATCTCTTACATGTCAGGCACAGGGCGGGCCATGTGATTGTGATGGAGAGGCAGTAACTGCATTAACCACTCCCCAGTAGATGTTGAGTGATAGTCACTGCTTCCATTCCCACAGTCCACGTCCTGGGAGCACACACGCCTCCACTCACACCAGCTGTGCTCAATGGGAGGCTGCTCCTCAGTCGTATGAAACCCAGTCTCTAGCATCTTCAGGTGAAATTTCCTTGGAGCACATCCACTCCCACTCACTTCTGTGTCATCTGGGTGCTTTCCTGAGGCAGCTCCAGAGTTGACTGGCTGCTCCTGAAGGTTACAGTGGTTCCTGCCTGGCCCCTGAGGAAAGAGTTTACCTGTTGCATATCTACCTTCTTTCCAGTCTCTGCAGCCTCCTATCCTGTGTGCCTGGTGTCCCAGTGGCTCCCCTGTGGTGCCTCCCCAGGACAAGACACCTCCTAGGATGCCTTGCTAGGTCATGGTCTGTGCCTTCCCTACCCAAGTGGGGATTTTTGTTTGTTCTGTTCACCACTGGATCCAGGTTCCTATTGTGCTTAATAAATACAGGTTGAATAAATGGTTCACATAGCTCTTGTAAGGTGTGCAAGGCGCTGGTGCCAAGGACACAGAGACCTGGCTGGCCAGCACACCCACTTGGCCCCAGGCCTGAGAGCTATTTAGTGTCCGAGGTAAATTCCAGCCCCAGCTATGGACACCCAGTATCCACCCCACCATCTGCCTCCTTCTTTAAGAGTCAAGTCCTTCCCCCATGCCTTCCTTCACTTAAGCAGAACATGCATGTCGCTGTAAGCCTCTACAGTTAGTAGTCACCCCAAGGCTGCACCTCTGCAGCTAACGTGGAGTGAGAATAAGGGCGTTCAAGGGGTCCTGCTGCCTCAGTTCTATTTTGGTGGTGCCACAGCTCTAGGATGTCAGGGTCTGCCCATTACAAGTGATGGGAACTCTGATATGCCTACACTGGCAGACCCTTTCCCTTGTGGAGTCGCCCTCCCCTGACTTAGCCTACCTATGACCCCTTCTGTGCCCTTCCTGTGTGCATGTTCCAGCTGGGCAGGCACTTCTGAGATATGCCTTCCTGCTCGTTCTCTTTGCCTTCGTACCGCTGAGTAGCCTGCTCTGTCTGCTTGTAAATCACGTGCCCATCCCTGAGACTAGGGCCTCTTCCATCTTGCTGTCTGCATCATTCCTGGGGCCCCGAGTGATGGCCGGTGTTTCTGGAAAAAATGGGCGAGCATGGAGACACTCATTCAGTTCTCTAGAACCTGCTGAGCAACCATCGTCCCAGGTGGACAATGTTCTGTCTGAGACATTCCTACATCTCAGGCTATGTTACAGTTACTCATTTGAGTAACGACACCCTCGTTGGGAGGCTGAGCTTCATAAAAGCAAGGACTATGCTGTACTATGTATAGCATGAGTAGGTGCTCAACAAATATTTGGGTGCAAACTGAGTGAGTGACTGAGGAAGTTTCCAGTGGGCACAGTATGCCTTCTTTGAGCTGTCTGTAGAAAGAGACTTGTTGTGCTGAAGGAGGACGGCCTGGTCTGTCCACTAGGGGTACAGTCCAAGCTGGGCAGCTACCTCTGTTACAAATAACACATCCTTTCCAGGACCCTGGTCAATGTATGTTATCGAGTTACCGGGACTTGACAGACATGGTCTCCTGCATACGTTGGAATTGCTCCTGCCATCGTGTTTTTCCCTCCCCGGGATGGTCGGACATGGCCACAACCCCTCCTCAGGCCTTTCCTGTTCCCACTGCAGGTACGGGTTCTCCAGAAGGAGCTTGCTGAGCCCACTTCAGAAGATACACACCCCTATAAGGAGGAGCTGGAGACGGCCTTGGAGCAGTGCTTCTACTGCCTGTACGGCTTCCCCAGCAAGAAGAGTAAGGCCAGGTACCTGGAGGAGCACTCGGCCCAGCAGGTAAGGGCAGAGTGGGCGTGAGACTCACCAACAAACAACTCTACAGACCCAGTCCTGGGCCAGAGAGCATCAGATTCATTAACCATGAAACTCCATCAGGAGGAGAGAAGGCTTTCCTTTCAGATAAAATGAGCCCATGGGTGAATGCTAGGGAGGTATGCATTCCTTGAAATAATAAACCATTTGAGATTAAAAGGGCAGCATTTGCCCTAAATTTTAAAGGACAAAATTCAGAAGGCAGGATGGATTAGGAAAGAATGAGGAATAAAACAGGAAACCCAGAGAAGCAGGATGATGTTACCTTGTGAGGACAGCAGTCAATGAGATGAAACAAAATGTGTATGAATTGTTGAATGAAAAACTGATACACTCTTTAAACTTTAACTCAATTCACTGTAAAACGTTAAAAAAGAAAAATATCCAGTAAATATATGTTAATAGTTAATGAGGAAAAAAGCAAAAGGAGGCAATGTGAACTAATCATTGAGAAATGCGGTTTGGTAATTTTCAATGATGTTTTTCCCAATTTGGATGATATGAATAATTCCTTTTATTAACTTATAGTTTTAAGTGCTGTCAAGTCAGCTCCAACTCATAGTGATGCTGTATAGGGTTTCTAAAGAGTAGCTTAGGGGCTTTAAACTATTGACCTTGAGGTCAGTAGTCCAGTGCTTATCCTACAATGCCACACCAGGACTTAAAGTTTTTAGAAATTTGTTTAAATGCTGTGAGTCAGATCTGACTCATAGTGACCCCAAATAGGGTTTCCAAGGAGCAGCTGGTGGGTTTGAACTGCCGATCCTGTGGTTCCCAGTCCAGTGTTGATCCTTCAGTGCCACACCAGGAGTCCTGTTAGAAACTTTGTTGTTGTTGTTGTTAAGTGCCATCGAGTCGGTTCCGACCCATAGCGACCCTGTACAGGGTTTCCGAGGGTGTAAATCATTACGGGAGTAGAAAGCCTCATCTTTCTCCCGTGGAGCGGCTGGTAGTTTCGAACCGCTGACCTTAAGGTTCACAGCCCGATTTGTAACCACTACGCTACCAGAGACTTAGAGGTTGTAAAATCCGTTTTTGTTGTTTTTTTTCATCTTGCATATTTTGGTGGTTCAGTGTAGAATCCTTGCCTTCCACATGGGAGACCTAGTTCGATTCCAGACAATTCACCTCATGTATAGTCTTGTGGAGGGTTGTGAGTTGTCATGATGCTGAACAGGTTTCATCACAGCTTCCAAACTAAGACATACTAGGAAGAAAGACCTTGTAACCTACTTCCAAAAATTAACAGTGGAAACCCTGTGGATGACAGCAGTCCAATCTGCGACCAATCATCGGGGTGGAATAGGACCAGGCAGCATTTTGTACTATTGTGTATGGGGCCATCGTGAGCAGCAGCATTGAGTGTATTGTTATCATCTGGCTGCTGCTTGTTGCTGTTAGGTACCATTGAGTTAGTTCCAATTCATAGCAACCATATGCACAACAGAACAAAGCATGCCTGGACTTGCACCGTTCTCACAATTGTTGATTTGTTTGAGCTTGCTGCTGCCACTGTGTCATTCTTGTTAATGGTATTCCTCTTTTGCTGACCCTCAACTTTACCAAGCATGATGCCCTTCTCCAGGAACTGGTCCCTTCTGACAACATGTCCAAAGTACGAGAGACGAAGTCTTGTCATCTGGTTTTTAAGGCACATTCTCACTGTACTTCCCAGACAGATTTGTATATTCTTCTGGCAGTTCTTGGTACTTTAAATATTCTTCACCAACACCATAACTCAAATGCATTGATTCTTCTACAGTCTTCCTTATTCATTGTCCGACTTTTTTATACATATAAGATGATTGATAATACCATGATTTATGTCAGGTGCACCTTAGTCTTCAAACTGACATCTTTGCTCTTTAACATTTTGCAGTGGTCTTATGCAGCAGATTTGCCCAATTAAATATATTGTTTAATTTTTTGTCTGCTGCCTCTAAGAACATTGATTGTGGATCCAAGTAAAATGAAAACCTTGACAATTTCAACCTTTTCTGTGTTTATCCTGATGTTCTTTATTAGTCATGTGAGGATTTTAATTTTGTTTTTACATCAAAGCCTATATTGAAGGCTTTGATCTTCATCAATAAGTGTTTTAGGTCTTCTTCAGTTCCAGGAAGAAGGTTGTATCCTCTGCATATTGCAGGTTGTTTCTGAGTCTTCCTCCAATCCTAATGCCACACTCTTCGCATAGTCTAGTTTCTCAGATTATTTGCTCAGCATACAGATTGAATATGTATGATAAAGGGATACAACCCTGATGTACACCTTTTTTTTTTTTAATGTTTTATCGTGAATTATGTGATAGTTTACATGGGAGAACATTAGCTTTACATTCATCCTATTCTATATCATTTCATTGCCATGGTTGCAATCCCCTTCATGCATCATCAACCAACCAAAGAGTATACCCTGCAAATCTTAACCCCCAGTTGTCAGCACATAGCCCCTCTCCCTCTCTGGGTCTAAAGTCCCCAGTCGCTCCATCTTTCCATGTCATCATCTCTGCCTCCATCTCTGGTGTCATAGCTTCTCAGAAGGTCCCACTCTCTGCTCTTCTACCTTGATGGTCCCAGGGACCTCCACTTCTAGACTGCAAAGTCAATTACTCCCCTCCTTTGGCTACAAAATGTCTACCTTTACATTTCCAACCTTCACAAGCAGTCCTGATAACAATTATTCACTGTTGAACCACAAGAGACCTATCCGCATCTCCTTTCATCAGCCCCTCCCAGACAGATTGGATACTACTCAGTGGAGACTTTACCTTCCTCTGCGCCTCTGGATCAAGGCTCCATCTTGAAAGCTTGTAAGCCAGTCACTGCTTGCCTTTGTAGTCCCTCCCCCCCCCCATTTTAGGTAGCCAATGTCCAAGTTGCCCATCCCTGTCAAGAGGTAGGAATGATCCTCGCTGTAAAGATTTGTTCCCTCTTTTTAGCTACTGCATCCATAAGTGTAGGTCAAGTTCATCAAATTGTATCAGATTACTCTTTTTTTCCTCTTCTTTCTTCCTCTAGTTGAGCTCTGATCATCCAGTCATTGAATCCAGGTCAAGTGGGTATTATCTGCAAGTGTGGGTGTTCTTATGCATATGCCCTCTCTTCTTATTAACTGGATGGATGCTTCACTCTCCATTCTAGTCCTCTGTGGCTATGTCACTAACTCTGGGCCCAAGAGTCCCCAGGTCTTGCCACACTGCTGGCTGACCAGGTCTCCACCTGGGTTCACAAGAGTTTATTGAACATTGTAGGGCTTAGCTTGCAGCTTCATTGCTGTTTTTTCCTCACTTCCCCTTACAGTAACGAATGTGGTCACCCATCAGAGCATGTATTCCCATTGAGTCTTAGTCTTGGAAGGAGATTTGCCCTTAGTCTTAGTCTTGGAATGGGTTTTGCCCTGAGGGGACCTGACCACTTGGCTTGATGTCTCCTGGGTGAGCAACTTGCTTGTTCTTGTAGTAATCAGTGAGACTGTGATGTACACCTTCTTGATTTTAAACCATTCAGTATCCCCTTGTTCTGATTAAAAGGCTGCCTCTTGGTCTATGTACAGATTCTTCATGAACACAATTAAGTGTTCTGGAGTACCCGGTCTTTGAAATGTCATCTGTGGCTTGTTATGATCCCCACTATCAAATGCCTTTTCATAGTCAATAAATCACAACTAAACATTTTTCTGGTGATCATCTGATGTCAGCAGTGATAGTCCTTATTCCATATCCTCTTCTGAATCCGGCTTGAATTTCTGGCAGCTCCCTGTTGATATACTGCTACAACAGTTTCCAAATTATCGTCAGCAAGCTTTTAGTTGCATGTGATATTCCCTAGTCATATTTTGAGTGCCTTCTAACCAAGGGGCTCATCTCTGGCACTGTATCTGAAAATGTTTTGCTGCTATTCATACTGTTTTCATCTTCTGGTACTATATTCTGTGACTATTCATAAGGTTTTCCTTGACTAATGATTTAGAAGTCGTCTGCTTCTCCTTTTTCGTCGTCTGTCTTAGTCTGGAAGCAGCGCTGAAACCTGCCCACCATGGCTGTACCCTGCTGGTATTTAAAATACTGGTGGCATAGCTTCCAGCACCATAGCAACACAAGCCAACACAGTATGACAAACTGACATACTAGTGGAGGGACCTTGAATACATCTCACTTGCATTTAAAGACCATCTTAAGAATGGATTTGATGTATTAGACACTAATGACTGAAGACCAGAAAAGCTGTGGGATAACTAAAAAATACCATACATGAAGAAGACATAAGGTTATTAAAAAGACAGGAAAGAAAGAAAAGACCAAAATGGATGTCCGAAGAGACTCTGAAACTTGCTTTCGAGCATAGAGATGCCACATCAAATGGAAGAAATGAGGAAGTAAAAGAGCTGAACAGAAAATTTCAAAGGGCAGCTTGAAAAGACAAAGTAAACTATTATAATGAAATGTGCAAAGACCTGGAGTTAGAAAACCAAAAGAGAAGAATACGTTCAACATTTCTAAGCTGAAAAAGAACTGAAAAAAATTCAAACCTTGACTTGGCAACATTGAAGGATTCCATGAGTAAAATATTGACTGATGTGGAAAGCATCAAAAGCAGAAGGAATACAGAGTGACTGTACCAAAAAGAATTGGTCGATAGTCATTTCAGGAGATGTCATACGATCAAGAACCATGGCACTTAAGGAAGAAAGCCAAGGTGCACTGAAGGCATTAGCAAAAATCAAGGTTCTAGGAATTGATGGACTACAAATTGAAGTATTTCAACAAACTGATGCAGCACTGGAGACATTCATGTATACCAAGAGATGTGGAAGACCAAATAGAAGACATCCGTATTTGTGCCCATTCCAAAGAAAGATGACTTAACATGCAAGTATCACATGCAAGTAAAATTTGCTGAAGATACTTGAACAACAGTTACAGCAGGACACTGACAGAGAACTGCCAGAAATTCAAGCTGAAT